TATAAAAACTATAATAGCATATAAATGATAATAAAACAACACTGGCTGTTGTTGTCGTAGTTTTTAATCACACTATTTTACAATCAAATCTTACCTATCTAATCTCGACAGATAGTATTTATACTTTTCCTGCAGTAATATTTAATCTGGGTATCTGTACTTTAACTCAAGCATGCGATTTATGCACCACTACATAACAGTGATACTCTATAAATGAATTTTGCCGTTAATTAACCATCATTCTCATATAAAATGTGCAACATTGGTAGTAACACCAGCAAGTTAAATTAACGTTAATAATGTAACATTAACCTAATTGAGAACTAGCAATACAATAGGCATTGCACATAATGATATACTGTATCTAGTGCTTATATTCATATGATGAGATTATCTAGTCTTACCGATCACATGCAGCATGTAGGCATGTGGGTATCCTTTAGCCGTCTCATCACGGACGAAGCAGCGGTATAATCCCGCGTCTGTCTGCTGGACTTCAGTGATGGTCAGAGACAGATCGCCGTCTCTGAATCCGTCCTCCGTCAGCGATACTCTGTCCTCGTAGCCCAGGCCTGGGTTTGTGGCTCTATTTGTTGTGTAGTGCAGAGCGTTCTGTTCATTATGTAGCCATGTCCCATCCCTGACATCGCTCTGAGTGTCCGCATAACACGGGAGAGTGACGTTTCCCAACTCAACGGCTGTCACGTTTATGGGAACTATAGGGAAAATATAAAAATGAAGCTACATTACTACTTGCAGTAAGTATTACTACACATGCTATTTAATGCATGTTCTAAATGTGAGGCAAACAAACACTCACCTACAACCTCTAGGTTAACTTGCTTGATTAAGCCATCACAGCTACACTCGTATTGCCCCAGGTCATTGTACTTTGCTGACTTGAGAAATAGAGAGTAGTTTTTCTCATGCATGACTGTGAATCTTTCCTTAAAACGTTCTTTTATGATGCATTTCTCCTTTTGGCATTCAGCAACTGTTGCTTCTATGGGGAAGGTCTTGTGCCACACGACGTTTTCACCGCTGCTGCAAGGAAGTGATGTTGGGTGATTCAGAACCACATAGACAGAGGAAACGCCTGTAAATAAAACAAAAATAGTTCATAAATGTCATAAATTCCTCATAATCACATACAATTTGCAGAATCCACAAGATGTTTATCTTTTAAAAAACAACATAAAAATTATAAAAACAATAAAAAAGCTTTATTCAGTACTGCTGTGATTAAGCTATTTTACATCAGATATGTACATATTCCACTATATACACACACACACACACATACATATATATATCTATATATGGGCCATTCTACAGAAATGGTGCAAACTGCTCTCCCACAACCAAAAAACACATTTAAAAAGCATTTAAGTATTCAAATCTTAGATGTTTACTAAGATCCTTCTATTCTCTATTGAAACCCACAATAATATTTACAATATTAGTAAGCTTAATATATATAAGATCATCATTTATTGGGTACTTTCAATTGGGAGGTGGCTGTCCCGAACCCTAACCCCTAAATTTCAACTTATGAAAATTATATTGAAATAATTTTTGTATTTTTTTTTCCATTGTTGTTTTAAAAAATATATTTTTGATTCTTTTAAAAAGTGAAGTAAAAAAAAATTTTTATTTTATATTTTCTTTGTAAATGATGAAACTTTATGTAAAAAAATGTGTCTTGCATTTTTCATGTCACTATTGAAACGGTGTATGTTTTAGTCCATTGGCTGAGACTGAAACTAACTACAGCCCTACATTTATGATCAGGAAATATTCATGTGTCTCTCTCTCTCTCATAGCTACAGGGTGAGTAGATGGGTCTCATAATTTTCAGGTAAATGTGCTCAAAAGTCTGAAAAACCTGTGTGGAACGTCACGACCGAACACCTTTTTTGGGAGTTTTTCCATATTTAATTTTTATGTGTACAACTGTTCAGAACTGTGCTAGCTAACCATGTGCTGATTAGCATCTTTGAGATGGGTTCAAAAGTATCTTAAATTGTCACTAGCGAAACATTTGGTGGAGTTTCGTTAGTGACATCTTTGTGTTTTTTTTGGGTGTTATCCCATAAAATTGTCACTTACCGAAACAGTTACGACTGTCATCATTGTTTCGGTAGTGACAAAAGGGAACACATAATCCTCATATTTGTATATTTTAGTGCAGGTATGCAGTTTTTTTAGGATTTTAGTATGTTGTATTACTGTTTAAAGGGGTCATATGATGCTGCTAAAAAGAACATTATTTTGTGTATTTGGTGTAATGAAATGTGTTTATGCGGTTTAAGATTCAAAAAACACATTATTTTCCACATACTGTACACATTCTGTTATGTGATGTGGTCGCTACCAAAGCATTACTGTCACTACTAAAAATGTGCAGTCACTACCGAAACATGGGATGTTTTGTCAAAAATAAAGTATACTGAATTATCAACTAAGATGCTATGATAGTGTTTGGTTCAATGTATATTCAATCTAACGAATCCTTAACTCTGAAATCAGTATGATCAACTTTTTGCCTTTTACAAAGAAAAACTGGATTCAAAATACAACAAATTTCATAAATTACACTTGTTAAAAATGTAACCGTTATTGATTTACCTCTGAAAAAAAAATGAATAAAATAGCAAAAAATATATATTTACAATGTAGATGTAAGCAAAATCTTAATAATATAACCCTTCGAATTAAATTATTATTACTGTGTTTTGGTTGTGGCAAATTTGGGGAGATGACAAATATTCCAAAACTTTCTGAAAATACAATATGAGAATTAACTGCACAATTACTAGAAATGTGTACCTCGGGTATTATAAGATTTGCTTATAAGATTATTATAAGATACAAATTCTTTGGAAAAATAAATTTTTTTTTAAAGACATTTTTAACTCTGACTTTGGACCAATTCTGTAGAATGGCCCATATATATATATCAGAAAACCATATATATATATATATAAATACCTGAATAATAATTTTGCACAAAAACATTCTTTAATTATAAAAAAATATTAAATTGCATTAAAAGATAATAAAGTGACCTACCAGTTAGAAATAGCGCAAGAATCCAATAAATCTTCATGGCTGTATGCACTGAAACACAATTCAAACATTATATTTAATTTCAGTCAGATAGAACATTTTGACGTTTGTGTTGTGATTGTGACTTGCTAAGATGTCTTAATGAGTGTCCAGATCATATTTCTTTGCCATGTCTTCTGGTTGATGCTTTCCTGGGACATTTAATTCATATTCATGAGCCAATAAATTACAACTGAAAGATGATACTTAGAAATTTTAATAGGCAATAAACTAAAAATGTATAGTTATGAGTAAGAAATTAATGTACTCAAAATAATAAAAAATAAATGAAACATAATTTTCGAGTTGCAATTCAATCTTAGTACTTAAAAAAAAAAAAGCCAAATCACACCAAAATAGTTTTGTATAATACAATCATACCAAACCATAGCAACTAAATTAGCAAATAGAATTCTGTTGCTTGATTTGTCAGTAATTATTCAACTATATTGTCAAACTGCACATTTCCATATAATATTTTTTTATATATATATATTGACGGTTTTAAAAAAAACAAAAATCAAATTAAAATAAATTAATAAATATGTCTAATATATTTGTTTTATTTACCCAGGGAGTTAACATTTTAAATTTTGTGCAATAACTAGAACTGGTACTCTTTCAAAAAGTGCTAATATGTACACTTCAGGGAATAATATGTAGCTTATTATGCACCGTAAATAAGGTACAAAGGGTTTTAAAGTGTACCGCACAGGTGACAGCTTTTCTATTTTTTTTTCTGTGTAAATAAATACACACTGCTCTTAAGGAGGCATCCTCCCCTAAATAAAAATACGACTGGATAAGATTAATAATAAAAAATATCATGATACCTGTTTGCATCAAGTGAGATGAGGCTCGGCTCTGTCCTGGGCTCCCACCAAATTCCCGGGGGTGAATTCTTTCCTTTTCCCAAAGAAGAAGAAACTTTCGAAAAAAGTCTATATTCGTGACATAAATCCAGAAGCTTAGGTACTATAATACTAATTTCTCGCAAGAAATGACGTCAAAAGTGGAAGACGTTAGTCCAAATGTGCAGGAACTGATCATCAACTGAAACATCCAGCCGCCGACTAGTGATGTTCGATTCTTTTGAGCCGGTTCTCAGGAAGTAACTTCTTCTTCTTCTTCTTCTTCTTGGTTTTTAACGGCGGCTGGCACCAACGCAAATAGGTGCATTACCGCCACCTTCTGCTCCGGAGTGTGAAACAGAGTTTTAAATTCTATTTACCAACCCTGTATCTCTTATAAAATCAAAGAATACATTACTATTTATTTCATTTGCCCATTTTATTAAAACCTTAAAATTAAGATCCTGAATTCCATTTTTCCTTAAAAACTAAAAACATTTTACCAATGTGTGTTGCTCCTCGGAATGAATATCTGTCAACTTAAAGACTGCTAAAACTAGTGAGTTTAAAAATAACAAATCAAAACATATATGACTGTGCCCGAAAGGCCAATTTATGTCGCTTTTTTAGAAGCTTTGAATCAATTGAACCGCTTCGCAAAATGATTCACTGTTTCGAAGCGCTCTAAACACTACACGCTGGCGACGCCTGCTGGTCAGAACTGAGTAAATGCAACCAAACTCAGGTCAACACATGCGTAAAAACAGCTTTTACAAACCCATTGCTAATATTCTATTGAAATTGTAATCTATTAAATGCAATTAGCAAATCATCAAATACTATTAGATATGGAGTGTATGCATAAGATGTGTTCTTTTATTAATGTGCACGGCTTGCTTTGTTTTAGTTTTTGTTTTATGGAGGGCTTGGGTAAACATGCCAATAAGGGACTATTAACTACCACTCTTCCTTTTAATTACACAAATGTCTCATTAAAAATGAATTCCGATTTTTTAAAACTGATAAAAACCATATACACTGGTTCAGTGATTCATTACAGAGATCATTTTACAGTCTGTGGTTTACACAGAGACGGCGAGCCATTGAAAAGCCGAAACATTTCGAAACAGTTTTGACGTAATGAAGCCTAGTTTGCTGAAATCGCGCTACTTTAACAGTTTAATTCGAAACAAACGATTCGCTAAGGTTTCGATTTTAGGGAGCCAGATAATTAGATTCAGATCTCAGCAATAAGAACTGCGTCTCTTTCATTTAGTACCACAACTGATTTTGTAATTAAAGGGCCGACGCATCTCGAACAAACATGTCTTGCACCGTCCTGCGTCACCAACCCGGAACTAAACAGTCGATTTTCAATCGATTTTGTGAACCGACCTGTCTGTTACTTCCTGAGAAAAAGAACCAAATGAGCCGCTTCAACCAACTGTCGAACAACACGGCGCTGGGTTGTTAGAAAATAACTTAATTTTTTATTTATTATTAAACAATTAAACAACATACATAAATACATTATAACAGAATCTCAGGAAATATAACATAGAACAAAAAACAGAGATAACAGCCAGGGGAAATAAAATGGCAATCTAAATAAAACAAAACAACACAATAATCAACACTAAAGTAAAAGTGGTAAAAAAAAAACTATATATATATAAACAAATGAATAAATAGATACAAAGTAATAATTTTAAAGGGGGGTTATTATTGGAGAATTTACACTTGTGGATATGATATTTGGCTAAGAGAAGTAATACATTTATAAGATAAAACTCTTTATCAGTATTTTTATCTGTATCAACAAAACCAAACAACACATATTTACAAAACAATAAAAACTGAGAGTACACTAAATCAATCACAAACCTACAAAAACTAGGGACATCATTGTTTGATGACGTCAGGAACCGATGAATCGGCTTTTTGAACCGGTTCAATGAGCCGAACTGTCCGAAAAGAACCGGTTCGCGGAAATGAATCGGACTTTGCATCACTAGTGATGACGGACCACGGGCGCTTTCGAAGCACTGCTTCATATCAAATTTTTTTTCAAAATCTTTTTTTTTTTTTTGTAAATTAATACAAGACATAATAATAGGATTTTTTTTCTTTGGTTTTTGTCAAATTTACGCTCCATATGCTTTGGTGTGTATGTGACTGCCACCAAGCATGTGTGATGACATACTCCCGGTCACTCACACTCACACACACATCAACACAACTTACAGTGAGTGCACAATGTTCAGGAATAATATACACGAGTATATATACGTAATATACAACGAGAACTGTTTGGTGTTTTTGCACATTATAATTTAGTTTTTATGTTTCATACCGTGTTCCATTTTGAATGTGATTCGTTTGGAAGAGTTGTGTTTTTGGATAGTTATACCTTTCTGTAATAGTGTTTTATGTTGATGTTACATTGTTTTATGTTTTTATGCTAAACGTAAAATTACAGTATTTTGGAAACTGATATTTTTGCACACATTCCAATAGTAGGTCAAAACATTGCTACATTTCGCTAAAGGCACAATATGTACGATTTTTTTTATTAAAATAGCCAAAAACCACTAGAACAGTGTTATATATTTTGCTGACTTGTGTACTTACATTATCCTAAATGTTTCGAAGAATGTTTAAATCCAGAGAAATAAGCAATTTTAACTAGTGGCACGGAGCGTGTCCATAGTGTCCATAGTGTCATTACGTCGCCTGCCAATGACGTATGACGCCTCGATTTCCGGTTTTGTAGAAAACATGGAAACACCAAAAACGCTTTAATATGTTGTGCGTTTTAATAGACCGGTGACGACCGCACAGAGTAGCATTATAACAGAACTAAATGTATCTCGTATGATAAAACAGCGCTGCTTTACCCCACATACGCACGACCGGAAGCAGCGGAAGCGCTCGACTGTGGCATAATAAAAGCTCCGCTGCCTTCGAGCCGTGTGTCGCGCTCGTTCAGCGCCTCGTTTCGCTTCGACGGCTTTCAGCCTCACCCTACTACATTAATAAATCATTAGCTCATCCATGAACATGATTTCTGCCCGAGTCCCGTCGGATTGCATCGGCTGTGGGGATGAAGACCACAACTCCCATGATTCCACACTCATCAAACTACGCCTTTGTCTCTTTGTTT